TGCGTCTGAAGCAGGTGGTCTTACCACTAGACCACAGAGGCGGTTATGTTCTTCTGATTTATTCCGTTGTGGTTCCAATGACAGTTTCACTCTGCTGTGAGACAAACTTGACTTTCACTGGTTAGGTCTTTATTAGAGTGCAAGCTGTATGAATGAATCTAAGATCTTGGCTACACAGGAGTTGCAGCGGTGGAGACGTGAGGTTGGAATACTTCCGTTTAGTGGCGGCCACCAACCACCTTCGCTTGGGCGGGACGTAGCACGTGGCAACCAGTAGTGACTATGGTAAATTGTCAGTATATCAACCTGTGTCACAGATTTCTTTGAAACCTACTTCAGGCACCAGTATCTCACAAGGGAACTAAGCTAAGACTATTAGCATAAGACCTTTGTATTTAAGTACGCATGTTTTCTACTTTGTGAAGAGAGAAATAAACGATTATTATTATTATATTATTATTAGTATGCGCATTGTGCGGAGCCTAAAGCTGTGTATTTCACCTAGTAGGCGCTGGTCTGGGTGTAAAAACAGATTATCGAGCCGGGTGGCACTGGAGAGCATATAACAGGGTAACACGTAGTTTGTGTTAACTTCTTGTCGTATCGACAACAAACCTATATTGACTACACAGCGTCAGCCCAAAACTCCGCCACAAGAAGTTGTCAGTAGCCTTCATTAAATCTTCCTGCGTGCAGTTGTTTGGGCACGCAGGGCACAACATGAGCTTCAAATTGAAGGGTCTTGAATTTTGAAGGAATTCTTTAAGTGGTATTCCTGATAATATTCTCGCAAATAAGACGGCGATATCCTAAAGGACCATTGTTAGGGTCCTAATTAATATTACTAAGAAATAAATGAAATAGCGGACTGTATAAAAATGGGTGTTGTAATTCTCGCCAGCCTAATTAGAAGAGATTATGAGAGTACGCGGTATTTGTGCGTCGACGGTGGTGTCCAAAGGCGAGTGAGTGAGTGAGCCGAGCGCAGCCGATGACGACGCTGTCGACCCGAGGTGACGTTAGTCATCGTATAGTTCCAAAATAGTGAACTGTCCTATCGATGACATTGACAGTGGGGCGCCACCGTCAATACCAGATCGCTGGTTCCGATTTTTGCCATGTTGGAAACCATATAGTTGAACGATAGTAGCGCCCCCCTGTCATTGAGTTTGGTGGGACAGTTCAGCGTGGGTCATCTATACGCCGCCCGCAAGTCTCCTCCCGCGCGTTGTTGGCTTCCCAACAATGTGCTTCGTCGACTTGGGAACAAAAGCACACTTGCACTCCAAGTTTAACATAATTAACTTTAAAAAAAAATAAAACCGACTTCAAATGCGTGAACACAAAAAAAACTAAAAATTAAAAATATTGCGTATAAAAAAGTTCATCCCCAATTTTCCACCCTTGGGGGTGAAATATTTTCTTCAAATTCGCATCAAACCACCCTTTTGATAATACCTATTCACCAAAAAAATAATCGTTCAAATTGATTTATAATCGGCGGAGATATTGCGTATAAAAAAGTTCATCCCCAATTTTCCACCCCTGGGGGTTGTTTTTTCTATTATTAAATTTAAATGGGACCACCCTTGAGGTATTACCTATATCAGGCCTGTTCATCTCCGCGAGTTTACATCGAAAACAAAACACGCACGATGGCCCACCTACAGGATACTATTCGACAAGGCCTCACATACGAGCGAACATTGACTCACGCACGCGTATTCTTGTGTATGATGGAAGAAAATAAAGAAAATGGTGTACTAAATACTGTGTAGTATTTTACTGCCTAAATAATAATAAAACACAGAATGTACTTTTTTAAGTTGCCTCAAGACACTGAGAGGTAAATAAGTAGTTAATATTATTTATGATAATTCATGCTAAATCATGTATATCCTCCGCCATTTTCCGCTGTTTGGCACCTCACGTCACATCATTTTACCGAAGTCAGCCCTATAGCTTCGGCGCAGTGCCGATCACTGACGTTGGTCAACAAAATGGTGCTTGACTCTTGAGACAGGCTAAATTACACCATATTGCTAATGACATTGAGCATACACTTTTTTAAATATCTTCGCGAAGTAAAACTTCTGTACGTAGTACTTATTATTATTCTGTGCCTATATGCCGAAAAAAGATTTGTTCAAATCGGTTCATAATTGGCGGAGTTATCGCGTAACAAACATAGAAAAAAAAAACATACGGGTCGAATTGAGAACCTCCTCCTTTTTTGAAGTCGGTTGAAAAGTTGTGTTAACTGACCTGGTTCTGCTGGTTGGCGTTGGTTTGCGTGGACACGGACGAGGCGGGCCGGATGCCGGCGGACGGCAGGATGTTGGACAGCGGCCGCGGCGCTTTGCTCATGCCGTCGGCCGCCGCGCGAGGCTTGACCGGCGTCGGAGTCGCGCACGCCACGCTCACGTCTACGGGACAACGACAAACAAGTCATAAGCTGGGTAGCACCGTCTTACTTTAACTTTGACAAACGTCAATCTGTCCAACTCCATACAAAATACACCGGTTATAATAAGGTGGTGCAACTCAGCCATAGTTTTGAGAAAATAGCGTCGGCATCACACATGCCTCGCTCTAGTCTAGAAAACCACAATATGCGTGTTTTTGTACAAACACAGCTAAGTTGCTTTGATTATGTATGTACAATTGTACAGCAGATGGGCACGTGACACCTTGTGGATTTTCACAAGGTGATGTTACGTGATACTTTGGCGGACAAAATCAAAATCAGTCAAATTGTAATTATAAACAAAATGTGATGTTTATGCTTACAACCGCACCGATCTTTGGTAAAGTAGTTATAAATTCAACATTTATTGGCCTTATGTAAGTATTTTGTAAATTACTGTCAAAGTCAGAAAATACTTTCAGCATTTGATAAATACAGGCCTTGCATACCGTGATAAAAATTTCGCTACTGAACAATAGTATTTAAAAATCAAACAAAACATCGCACTTGCAAAATAGCTTTGCTTAACACAAACACAATAACAAAAAAAAAATATACTATCTATGAATATCATAATTGTAATGGGATAAAATAGGGTACTTTACACCAAAAAAACTGTGATTCATCACAACTTTATTGCTAAACAACGTAATTCTTTACGCGTATTCGTGTAAAATACCCTTAACGTATAAAATAATATACTTACTCGCATGCTGAACGTTGTTCTGCGGCGAGTGTTGAATGAACATCGAGGGCGGGGCGTCCGGCTGAGTGCCCCTGATGAATATCGGGTTGTGGGTGAGCAGGCCCCCGGCGGGCAGAGCCCCGGCCTGGATGCCGCCGGTCCACACCTGCGGTAGGGCTCCGGACAGCTGCCACGGAGCGAACTGCATCGTCTGGCCGCCAGCCTGGGGAGGAGTCGGACCATCAGGCAGCCACCGAGATATGAGTCTAGATATAGTTTCATCCACGAAGACGCGCCCCACCATTTTTCCGCTAATGTTTGATGTTATCGGTATAGCCTGACCAGGAACATAAAAACCCTCGCCATGTTGCGGAAATCTAATGGTACTAATTTCTTTTAATGGCAACAATAACTAAAAACTTCATTGACATGTCACCTTGCATATCAGTCTATTGATGTCAAAGTGTAAACAAACTTTATTTAAAAATGTGCGCAATTGATTTTGTGAATGAAATTGCTAAAATCTTTTTATAGTCGTGAAAGAAAAGTGGTTCACAATGTGTTAAAGTATTTGTCGAAGAGAAATACCAAGGGTTCGGACAATATTTTCATTGAATAATGTTTCCAACAAAGGTTGTCAAATTGACTGACATGTTTATCGTATAGTACAGTCCACTATGAAAATTAGCTGTGGTTTGTTTCAACTACCTATTTTAAAGTTTTTTGTCACTTTCTAAGTGTTGAATTTTATAGAAAGAAAGAAAGAAAGAAAGAAAGAAACATTTATTGCCATGGACATCACAGAAGACAAAAGATGTAAATAATAGAAAAAAAAGTAAATAAGACATAGGTGACATAAAATAAAACATACAATGAAAGTGAAAGTAAAACTGAGCAGTGCCACCCTGTCGCACAGCGATGTCCATCGCAATGGGACCCCACTCAGCATATGCCATGGCCCCCGGTGAGGCAGGCCACGACGCTGGTTTTCAGTGTGCCCCATTCCCATTATGGAATTGGGAAAGAAGTACCGAGTTTGAAGCGTTCATGAGCAGACATTGCAGTTGAATATTCAAGTTCTGAATTTGATTATTGATGAATAATAAAATAAATCCTACTAGCTCGATTGATGGTTTCATTTAATTTATTTAAACCAGATTACCTATAATAATATGTTTTCGTTAATTTATGAAAATATTAAATTAGCCCGTAATCCTGAATCCTGATACATAAAGTTAGCCTATTAATTTAACACAGGTACGACTGTACTCAGTGTTGCACTATCAAATGCAATTGATGCGCCTCTATGCCAGGGTTTTTATGTTCCTGGTCAGGCTATACACGCTAAATCATCCATGAGTGCACATGCACACTACAATAATGACGCTCTGATTTCTCGGATCAAACTCCCCGCACAACGCGCTTTCCTCAACCAAAAATTGGTGGGGCGCGTCTTTGTGGATGAAACGAACTATATTATTATGCTGTGTTGGACGAGGTTGAGAAGACTTTAATCATTTATTGGACCATTTACATGATGAAATAATCTAATTAATTTATTACAGACTTCTTCACGCGAGTTGTATCTCATCTATCTAAACATAGTCGAAGGGTCAGTTTCGTTAGATGTTGTCAAAGTCCCAGATAGTTATCTGACATACAAAGGTTGTTTGTTAGTGACCTCATCTAGCAAAGATATCTGAGACATCTAATAGATACTGATAAGTTCCTTCTAGGCTATCAGGAACTTTATCAGCAAGTTAAATGAACTCGTATTATCAGATTGTATGAATAGGTATAATTTTCTTGTGACCTATTTATACAAATATAAATTTATTTTCAACTGTGATCAATATTATGATGTATGCAAGTGTAGTGAACTAAACAAAGTATAATACAACTTGTTCTGGATTATTTGCAGAAGATCGATAAACAGTACTTTTAAAAATTCTTAAAAGGAACTATTACGAAATATAACTCGCAGTAGTTCCTTCAAAAATACTGAACAAGGAGTTCCTGCGAATAGTCCAAACTTCTTACTAAACAACCAGCAAATAACGTCACAATACAAAAGCGCAAGCAAACGTTTTAAGTACATCAATCAGACATAAAACTAAAATAAGTAATAGTTCGCTTTGGCATTGCATAATTTATTCGCAGTGAGCATGCGCAAATGGGTAAATAAAACAAAGCAAAAACCAACAGTGAATAACACATTTAACAGATTACTGATTTATTAACAAAGTATTTGTTAATCAGCTAGTAATCATAAATAAAACTGTTAAATTTTATAGGTAAACCATTGTCTTGTTCAAGTTTAAAAAATACCATAAAAATAAGCTGCCAATACCTTAATAAATCTTTGAAAACATTTAGTGGAAAAGAAAACACAGATGCGATAAGTTATTTTAGTATCTTGCGAGTTGCTCATACATAGTAAGAGGCCAACTGCACTGCGCAGATTCTGACGCACACGAATTACATACATCTCAATATCATTCACATTGAAATTAACCATGGATGAGATTATTCTAGAAGGGACCATCATCGAGTAGGTATTTACTTTTAGGCATCGACTATCGATATTTTAGAATATAGAACGTTAGCTTTTTAGCCCTAAAAATTAGTTTGGCGGAACCTTTGGCAACTGGTTACTGAGATTCGTAATAACCCCGCCGTTTCGTGGACTTACGAGCGTTGTAACGTAGGCCCTACTTTCTGCGACAGGCGGCTTTTTAAACGCAAACGTGGTCGCCCCAAGCAAACTTGGCGGCGCACTGTGGCAGACGAGGCGAAGAAGATCGGCAAGACTTGGAGCGAGATCAAACACATAGCTCAAGACCGAACGCGATGGAGGACTGTTGTGGACGCCCTCTGCCCCATCTAGGGGACATAGGACCATAAGTCAAGTAATTCTACTTTCTGCAGAGTATAAGGATACAAACCTGCAGCGGGCTGATGATCTGCGCTTGCGCCGCCTGCTGTGCGCTCAGCACCGGCTGCGAGACCTGCACGCACTGCGCTTGCACCGGCACCGCCTGCCCGGCGCCGCCCGACGTCACCTTACCGCCAGTCACCTTGCCGCCGCTCATCACCTGCAGTACACGAAGCCCGTTAACACTATACGACAATTTATATACTTGGGTGCACACTGAACTTTTCAATACGGCATAGGGTAAGGTGGTTTCTATTAGTTGTATGATGTTCAGCGGCTCAGTTGAGCAGTTCTTATGAGCTTGACAAACGTGTATACCAACAACATACAACTAAAAGAAAGGGACGGAGAAATATGCATTGTAACATTGTACCCCGTGTAACATTGTGCCCCACCTTACCCTACCAATAACGCTGATTAAGTAAATATCGACTCGACTTGCCCGGAGCACTGCCGTGCCCCCAGATATTTTTATGGCCTCTTTTAGTCGATATCTTAAATATGTACTTGATTGAAATTTGCCAATCATTGAAATAAATAAAAATTCCTTGTTACGCATAAATAATAACTATTGAATTCGTAGATTCAGGTTAGTAAATATATTAAATAATAATTTGATAAATTGAAAACACGGAACACTATATTAAACATCATAATTTCTTATCTACATGTTTGAGTCCAAAACATGACGACAATCGTACCCTCAAGATCAGTCGCGGAGGGTAGAACCTCGGTTTGTTAGGGGCGTCCATCAAACAAGCTGTATCCTGGTATATTCGCTGACAAAACTCGCAATCAAATATACATAAAAAAAGTGCGTGCGAAAAAAATACGCTGGACTCGGTGTAGTTCTTCTGATGCCAGCGTATGAGTAAAAGACTATCACTCTAAGACCTACGATATAAAATTGTTCTTCTCTGATCAAAACACGTGGGGACTGACATTTGAATTAAAAATTCTCACAATTTCACAAATTACTGAAGTTGCAACTTAATTTAAACCACTTATTTAAAAAAACACCTCGAATGTATTAATTAATACACTATAATCTTAATAAATTAAACAATATCAGAAAAATAAACTGACTGAAATATTGGCTCCCATCACATGACGAAAGCATAGGCCGACTGTTTAGCGAGTAATGCGAAAGAAGTTTGTTCTTTCGTTGGTTTTACCCATAGGATACACTATTATACTTTGAAATGTGACAGCTGACATATAATGTTTGGTGGTCAAACGACGCCAATGCATGCCAATGTGTGGAAAAATGTAATGGTGATTTAATACTTCTGCGAATCTTACGCCGCTGCTGATAAAGAAACACTTTTTTCTGTTTAATATTAAAATATTAAAATGTTTGTTACTTTTATAAAACTTTACGTAAGTGTTAAGGGTCATAACAGACTTGCAACTTTTCCACAAAAAAGATAAACGCAGCAATTAGTTTCAGATTTGTACGCAAAAAACAGCAACGATTAACTCAAGAATCGATGTGATAAAAAAATATTTACATCACTGCTGATGCTGGAAGTAACATGTCTATTATAGCCGTGATATCAATGAAATTTCTTCAACAGTACATAAGTTAAAATAAATGTGTTTACCTTATGCATGTCAGCAGACTTCTGTTGCTGGCCAATCCCAGATACGGTGGGCTGGGAGTGCGACGGCAGAATATTGGGCTGCGAGTTGATCACGCCTAGGGGGCTAAACACGAACGTCTGGTTCTGGGTCGTGGGGATCGCCGGGATCGTGGTATACCCCGGGAAAGGCGCTGCCAATCAAAAAACGCACTTAGTACACACCGCTCTAAGAATCATTCCACCTTACTAATTAAACGATAAGCCTTGCATATAACCATTAACTACCTAACTACAACAGCAAATTCCAACCGACAATGTAACATAGTGACTTATTTGTTATTAGTGAGATTGCTGAACAAACAATATACATCAAAACGTCCACATTGAAAATTAAAAAGCTTATCTTAGGCTCAGTGTGTCAAGGGACTAAACATAAGAATATATGAATCTGTGAGCGTACTCAATGCGTATGGATGTGTATAAATTAGATTCAGCAAAATATTTTAATGTGTAGTCCCCTTGAGGCTACTCGATTAAGGCAGCATGATAAAGAATGAGGTGATCGCGTGCGCCGGCCACGGGCCGCGTGACGAGCGCACGCGACGCGTCTAGACTAAATGCGTCGAAAGCCGAAACAATAACAAGCTGCGCTTACGATGAAAAGACGTAACAGATCCTTAAGAAGCATCGTTTGCGTGTTTTCTATAAATAAAATGATTTATCCAAATAAAAAGCTTCATAGACTCAGTCGAAACGCCAATTAAATATACACAAAATAAATTAAGAAATTTAAAAAAAATCCCGAAATAATATTACATTCACATTCGTTCAATCACGAGACTTTTAACAAAAATAATTCAGTTTTAAAATGTATAAACCTTGCTCCTGATAGGTAGTGAGACCTGTAAAATTTACTGCAAAACTAAATAGTGTAGAAATTCTTATTCGCATTTCTAGCGAGGGTAGTACAAAATAATGCTACGGGCGGGTCACGGCGAGAACTGATTAGTGTCTTATGTGGGTCTAATGTGCGGAACTAAACGCAGTTCTGTAAGCTTATTGTGTATGTGAAAAACGCGTCCTGCAACTATTGTTGAAGTATGTTTTCTGATGTTATAAGCTGTATATAAAAACTACATTTGTTACGATGTAGGTGGGAGGGAGCCCTCTCCCACTTACATCAGGTTTCTTTAATTCATACAAATTCTATGCGTCATCGAATTTGCTTTGCTTAATAAGTGAAGTATTCATGGATAAATAATGGGTCGTACATATTAACCCGTACTTAATCTGTTATATCTGCTTTAATATACATTAAAGATAGTAAAATATAAAATAGTGTAATTAGCAGATAGATTTCTAGTATGTATACAAAACTAGTCCGCAGGATTAGTACCGCAAATAACAAATCCTTGTAGCGCAAAGCCAAATTAATAACTTAGCAATTTATCGCTAAATGTAGTACTTATGTCTGAATTGTGTAGTTATTTAATGTAGTTCATTCTCATTTAAATGACAAACGGGTGTAATCTTAATATGTATTTAAATAGGGAATATGCAAGATTTTTTTATTTCTCACATTTCAGTAGCCTTGGCATCAAATCAATCAGTGTGTTTCTTTAACAAAAATACCTAAGATATAAACGTTAGAGATCTCATGACGTCGGCGGTTATGTTAGAACGCCACGCAGAGTCCCATTCAAATTACTATGAGCGGGTGACATTTGACGTCACGCTCAGCTATTTCCATACAAATTTTAAACACTTGCAACTTTTTTGTTTCCAGTCCGATTTCAATACTAGTTTTTCAGAAATTCTATTTTATACATAATTATTAACTTAAATCGATGCATATTCCCTATAGTAATCATATTATTTCCAAAGCCACAAAATATTAGTATATGACATTACGGTGCTACTTTACATTGTTATATGAAACAAATCAGACAGTCACATTATTGTGTTATGTCTCAAAACACTATTAGGGATAGCAATAGTTAAAGTTAACAAATGGATGTTGAGTTGTTGAGTAACAAATAACTTTCACTCACCAGCCTGACCTTGGAGAACCTGTTTCCCCTGAGTAGTGAGCATGTGTGGCGCCAACTGGCTGCCCTGGAACGGCTTGCCAGCGGCGATCACCTAGACACGACGGCGTTAAATTAAAAACGGAGAAAGCCATTCAATTTATTATTAGGAGACGTTAATTGATTTTTATTTATTGCTCAACGATTATGGAGCAAGGGGTGTGGAATGAATTATTGCACATTAATTTATGGTTACTCATTAATGACTATTAAGCATTTTTTTAATGTATCATATTATAAAAGGTTTTGTTTCGATTTCAAAATTGTCTTATCGACTTACGCCCGTATTCACAAAGATGCTTGCTAAAGTGAAGCAGCAAATCGAACGCACAGCGTTGAATAGAGCTCTGTGATTGGTTCATATGTCACCCTGTGCGTCCACGCGCACTGTGAGAGCTCATAGTAATGTTTGTGAATACGGGCGTTATTCTCATCCGTTTGGAGTAATGTCACCTTCACCTATAAAAACTTTAGCGGCAATGTTCCCTAGCCGATTATGTTGCGTTTCATGCAACTTTTGGATATTATAAACTGGTATTTTAAGCAACATGTAGATGCCACTAAGAATTCAAGCACAGGTTATCCAGAACTAAGGTATGTATTGGTAAAAGACGTGATTGCTATCACAACCTTTAATTTATTGCCAGCTAGCAAGAGGAGCAGATGTACCACTAGGCCGTCGTCAAAATTGTAGATGACAAACATAAAACGTAAACATAAGGCACATTTGTTGGGAGTTTTGACACTCAAATTGTTTGTGGCGACTGTGTTGTAATACTAGTAATGAATTACGTACGAAAAGGACTTTCTAAGTAGTGTTATTGAAGTTGTAAAAGCGTTTCTCACCTGAATCTGCTGCGAGTTGATGCCGGGATGCAGCGCGATGTTGCCGGGCATAAGCAGCGGGCCCTGCGTGTTGTACAGCTGCTGCAGGTACGTGCTGTTCTGCAGCGGCTGCTGGATCACCTGCACGCGACTGTGACCCCATTCGGCACTGCGGGTTATGTGGAAAAAGTTCATTTTATATAGACACGCCCGACGCTTGCGCCCGAATAGGCGACCACGGGCGTCGCATAGTCGATCGTTTTTTGTTTTGATTGCATTGACGACACTACTGGATGACCTGCACGCGACTGTGACCCCATTCGGCACTGCGGGTTATGTGGAAAAAGTTCATTTTCGATTGACCAGCCCGACGCTTGCGCCCGCTCAGGCGTCTACGGGCCACGGTAGGTGATTATTGTGTTTATTAATTGAATTGGACTCTGTTGTATTACTTGCACGCGTCTGTGATTCGATTCAGAACTGCAGGTTGTGTGAAACATTTTCAATTTCAAGTTCACGCTTCCGCCGGGCATCATCGAGCGTCACATGATAGTTTTTATTAGACTGGGTCGTTTCTTAGACATGATATCAGGTCATAATAGCTTTATTTATGTCTAACAACGCGGAGCTTGGCGCAGAGCTTATAGCAATAGATAACTGTTTTTTAACTTCCAAATTATCGTTATTTGAACGTTTTATCTCTACGTGTATAGCAATCTATAGTCTGGTCCGAGAGCACGTAGAATTTTGTCCAATGACCCCAAGCTACCCATCCTTATCGCTCGCGCGTAATTATATTGCTGTCGCGACTGTGGGACGGGCGCCCGCAGTGAGTGTGCGAGCGCCACAGCAACATAATTACGCGCGAGCGATAAGGATGGGTAGCTTGGGGTCATTGGACAAAATTCTACGTGCTCCCGGACCAGACTTTAGATCAGAGCCAAACTCCGCGTGCAGCCGTGGCCATGGGTCTTACCTGATCTGTTGGGGGTGCTGGGTGTTAGGGGGCAGGCTCTGCAGCGGCGGCATGGTGGTCACTCCCGCCTGCTGCTGGATACCACCCGCTTGCTGCTGCTGTTGGACCTGAAACGTAGTCAACACTCAGGATATATCGACCACAACGACTTAAAGATTGATTAATGACTGATGCCCGTTTTCACTTTTGTTTTCAAATGAGTCACTTAAAAATTAGGGATTGACCGTTGACGGTGAAAACGGGTATGAGTTTCATGCTGCTTCTTCTCAGCACTGGCCCATTTATTGTCCAAAAGCAGTGGTACGGATGATACCGTGACGTAAAGGTGCTTTTTTAAGACCTACTTGCAAAAATAAAATGAGTTTCATGAGAGTTTTATTATGAACTGTCTGTTGACTATGAGTTTTACAGAAAGAAGCTGGATTTCGTTCAACATAGATTGATTGAGGCCTGTGGTTGGTAGAATTTGAATATTTAGACAATCACAAGTGGCAGTTTCATAATTTTGAACATTGTTTTATAATACAGACTTTAATTCGTTAAACCTATTGTAATACTTCACTTGGAGTGCAGTGTGTGACTCTGTTTACTGACAGCGGACTGCAGCTGTGGTCATTCATATCTTAGTTTTACGATTAGGAAGAATAGCTTTCGCTCTTTCATCAATAACGAACCAACTAAATTCAAATGTCATACTGCTTGCTTTTAAAAGTGACCTGACGTGCACAGTCTACGCCACATCTCAAAAAGATTTCAGCACGTGCCATAATGGCGCTACCCTAGTCGACAAAAAACCCGGATACCCTCATTGTATGGCGTCCAACAGGTTTGGCTTGGTTGGCAACATTGAATTACGTAATTCATTTGTGTAGGCATAATAATTTGTGTATCAAAAGTGGAAAGAACTGGTTTATGGGTTCAGAAAACCTCTTGCTATCTCCCAAATATTAATCCACCTGCTGACTTCGCCTCTTCGTCAAAGTAGAAGACGTTTTTTTGGCATTGGAATCCCAATATGTATGATTTACATTGGCTAAAGTACTTAAGTACCTACCTGTTACATTGGCTACAAGCATGAGCAAAGTAATTACGCATTTTGTTAAAAAAATAATTAAGAAAAGCAATTTTCGTGTGACCCGACAGGTGTTGAAATGTGATGCTGTACACATTGCTAATATTTCCGTTAACCCCTCCAACTAAGCTAAATATTGTGGTAGGAGTGGGTTCACCACTACAGTCCAGGAATCGAACTAGGTACCCTCGAGTCAACCGAAAATTAAGACCGTTGGACTATCAGTTTTAAGCGCACTTCACGAAGCCCTACTTTGATGATGGTGCCCTAAACTCTGCTGGAGCCATACCGAAACGTCACTATTGATTTTAAAATGCCAGCTCGCATTAAGCGTTTCGATGACTCTTTTGTAATGCGAACAGCTAGGGACTGGAATTCGTTGCCTGCTGCTGTCTTTCCCGATGACTATAATCCGGGCCTTTTCAAGGCGAGAGTGAAGCACACAGGGCAGATATGTACCATCCTCTCAGATCATAGAAAGAGAATAGATATGAAGTCGCGCGTATCTACAACGAGAACCAGTGTCCCCACATTTCCCCCACCACAGCTCCCACACACACATTCAACTGTGTAAAAACAAAGCGACTGAGAGTCTACGACAACATGTGCAACCGGCTTAAAAGTGCTGTGATTGGCCAGAAGGCGTGCCTTATGGCCAATCAATGGCCGCGTGACGTGACGCACACTTTGAAAAAAGCAATTAGAGAGAAGAAAGATAAAATGGAGTCGATAAGATATCGATACTTTAAATCCTGGGGGCAAGGCTCGAAATTGGTTTAAGAAATGCTTGTATGAAAACCTTTTTATTATTATACGTTATTATTATGTTCTTTAACGATTTTTGCATAAAGGAGTCAGTTCCATTTTGTATGGACGAAAAACTCAGAATCAATTATTGGGACTAAATGAAGTTACCTTATATTAATTTACCCCAACCAAAGCTCAATGTCGTTATCGATGGAGTATAGAAGTTATAGACTGACAAAGTTTGTATGAAAAGTCATGGGTTAAGTAGGTACTTGCGATTTTTACCAGTATTTACAATATTGGTAATATATTATTATTTACTTTAATAATAATAACAGGATCACTGTAATTATTATTAACTACTATCGCGCATTAACTTTTTAATTATGGCGAAATTCGTACCGCCTATGTTTATCAAAAATAATGCCTATATTAGGCTTTCAACTAGCTCTTATAGTAATTACATAGTTGACAGTTACTAATCCCTTCTACTATTGTTATTGTTTTTGTAAAAACTTAAAAATCGCAAGCAACTCATGATTTTTTCATTCAAAATTAGAAAATAGAAAATAATAATTTACTTCTATTTATCGATAATAGGAAACCGTATTAGAACACGAGCCCTGCACTATGTTACGACCGGCACATGCGGCCGTACTGTGTATTTTCACGCGTCAGTGGATATCGGAAGAAATAAAATACATTGCGCAGTAGTTACGCATGACATAAAGTGGTTGCTAACTAAATCGTCAATGTACAACGTGTTTGAATTTTTATCACCACTAATTTCGATATCGCAGTAAATGTCACGGCACTGAATTCGTTCGTAAAAATGTTTAGTTTTTTTTATTTATAAGCAAAATACCAATGGATTTGCAATACTTACATGTGGTAAATGACTTCATTGTTCCTGTAGTTCTTCGTTTCACTTATGTTATTGCACGTTACGACACATTATCCAACAATATCGGAGAACATTTCCTCAGTACGACTGAATCGCGACTAACCTGGCGTCGCGGGCGATGTTCGTTTCTGGGCATATCGCGGAGACACGCGCCACGCCCCCGTTTCACATCTATTCCCTTCTATGATCTGAGACCATCCTAGACTGCATGCCACTTAACACCAGGTGCGATTGTGGTCAAATCTGCCTTGTTATGCGTAAAAAAACTGAATTTACCTGATGAGGCGTCATGCTGCTAGGCATTGAGGAAACCACAGTGACGGTCTGGTGATGCTGCTGGCCAGCGTCGTGCTGGGCCATGCTCATCTGCTGCTGCACCACTTGAGTTTGTCCGTCTACGATCTACAACAACGGACAACACATAATGAACCCGCTTCTTGTGACACTTTTGTTCTTAAGGTCTACTGTCCCCGTAGCGTCGCTTTTTAGACGAGTATTCGTCGTTATACGCTTGCTGTGTCTTACGCTAGACGAGCCGAGCACGAGCGGCGCACGAGCCGAGCAAACATTCGTGTATTGTGGACCGACATACTCTCTCGCTCATGTGTGTATCGGTTTTTTGACGAACACAGATCGAACAATGGCGCTCTGCTATATTGGAAAAGAGTGATTGTTGTAGGCTCGTTGTACGTCCACATTGACACCGCGAGTACCTCGTGCTCGGCTTGTCTAGCATAGACCCACTTTACATACAAAAACTATATCGACGGCAGCGATGCAGCGACGCAAACGCTACGTTGCCACCCCGTCGACAGTCTATGGAGCAACGCTAAGTGGACAGTCGGACACAGTTTGATTTATTAGTAACAGAAATCCTACTTTCTTGACGCCAGCTGCAAATGCGGGTGTGATACTCGAGGTGTGGTACTGCGAGGGACAAATGTTAGTATAATGAGTACAAGTGTACAAGCTCTTGCCGGTATCATGGTTTAATTGTTTATTTGTTAATGTGTCTTATAATTCACATTCTAATTCACAATATTATGACGATGTCAATAATGAGCTCTGAATGTCGTGAAATTAATGTAAGTAATTTGTAAAGGAAGGTTTACACAATGTAATAAGTTTGCGTGTTGATATATAATAATCCGACACGCTTCTTTAGCATAAAATAAATCAGAAATTAGTATTCATTTATTTAATATCAATTCACAAAAGGTTATGCCTGTATTATATGAATTTAAAGAAGTTGGATTCATAATTAGAAATCCAAAAATCTGTATTAATTATTGCCGGGACAGGAGATGTGTGAGACACTTACGATAACGTTTGTTGCCAAAACGTCAGCTAAATATTTGAATCACTTCTTTTTAAACATTCGGTTAAAGACCTCAAGATATCTCATAAGAACAATAAAAATTAAAAATATACGAATCGTTAATTGCAACCAATATCTAAAACATTTAATACAATAAAGTATTGCCAGAGCAAAAACAAACAAGTCATGTCAGTAAACCACCCCAATCATGGAATATAGCTACCGTATAGGTTTCTAGTTATAGGTTAGTAGTTACTATGTTAGGGATGCCAACCCCAGCCTTGAGGGCCGTCGGCGCATTTACATAGCTAAATTGGGAGCAGTCTACGACCGACCGCATGCACACAACGTATAAATGCCGCGTATTATAGTATGTTAAGGATAACCTTTTAACCGGTGACGGCTTGCACGAACTGTCTACACAACAAAGCAATAAAGTTGCACTAGAACGACGTTTATTTAATAAAACGGAACCACCGGTTAGAGTAATAGAAGCCTAAGGCTGGGTTTCCACTTGAGGACTGTGAAAAAGAACAGGGAGTTACGAAAAAAAACGTTTGTTTTTTAGCATAGCGCTTATAGCAAAGGGAATAGCGGAGAGAATTCTTTTCACAATTTGAGTGACAGATGTATGCGAAGAATGTGAATAAGGGCGCTTACGTATAAGACCTTTTGTGGCGGACGTCAGTCATCCGTTTGAAGGATCGCATACGGAGAAATGTATGACAACATTCACAACTGCGTTGGAAATATGACAACCAAGTTAGTGCGCGGTCTTGCTAGCGCACGACTTACAGCCTGCTCTAAACGTCTAATTTGAAAGAGCCCGAGGGTTCGCAAAGTGATCGAGTAGTATCGTCTTTGAGAATGACAACGGAGCTTCAATAAACCACATCGCAGTCAAAATTTTACCCGTTAACACACAGCTAAGTGAACGGCTAGTCGTAACGAATAAACTCTTTTAATTCATCTAACATACCATTGCCTCCTATTTAATACATAATGCGTAACAACTTTAATTATCACACAAAGATACAAACACAAATGTTACATTAATACGTTGGTTCTAAATGGGAAATATCAACATTCAGTTTGAATGGCTTTTCTGTATGACGTCGTTACCTTAAGAACACTTGTAACGAATACTTTCACAGAAACTGTGTAACTAGTAATTAAGGATGTAATTAATTAGTGTAATTTTACCACTAAATAAGACTCCATCAACTTAAGATTCGACATTTGGATCACAAAACACAAATTCAATTAGTACTATTACAAAAACAAATATCATATCAAACATGTGTCACTAGCGAACTACCTTAGTATACTGACAGTCAATATTTTATTAATTGAGTCGAGCTTAATCTACTACAGTAATAAATAGCCCGGTTGTTGTTATTGTAGGTAACTACGGCATTACGTATAATTAATAACAAGCATGTTTTTCTAATTTGATAATTAAACAATTGATTAGTCTACAATTTGATGCACGGCTTAACCATAATACATCATTACGATTCCGAAACGAAAAGTGCATGTAATTAGTAAAATAATTAATTATAATATAGGTACTTCTTTTGAACACTAATCATTAAAGACACAGCTCATTAAAGTTTAAATCGATTTATTATGGGCGGTCAAAGTAAGTGGAACGTACCCACGTGTATCTTTTTCAATTGTTTTTATTATTAAACGGAGGCAACAAAATGAAGTCGATAAGAAGTGAAAGGAAGTGGGGTCTCTTGTTGCAACGCGAACTGTTTCACCGTAACGCGAACCCACACCACACGACAGCTGCCCTATCCGAGTATTTCATATCAACCCTCCGGCGGAGAGGGGCGGGGCGAGTTTTCGAAATGCAATTATTGACAAGAGCTTACGGATTTCTCCCGCGATCTGTAACGTTTTACCGCTAACGAAAATTGACGAATTACCGTCATGGGTGATGTAGTCCAAATAGCGTGCATACTTTTTGTTGGAGCTACACACGGCGAAGCTTGTTCACCGCACCACGCTTCTTTATTCAACTCTCAATTATTTTTCTCTTGAAGTTTTCGCGCAAATTGTTATTATTTACCAAGACGATTTACGCACGCACATTTTTTGTATTTTCAAAAGAAACTTGCGGTAAAAAAAACTGTGATTTTGATTGAGATTTTAATAGTTTACAAGCAATATAAGAAAAAAAGGTATTTCATTAAGTAATGTAAAAAATAAATAGTTTTTCGTGTAGTATGAAATATTCTGCCTATACGAGAAAAAATCAACACACGACAGTGATGACACACCGCCTAGAAATATTAGGAGAAATATTTCTTCAACAAAAGATGAAATCACTATTAAAGGAATTATTAGAAATCTACCTAAAATGACGAAATGAGGATTGAATCCTAAATGTTAGTATTAAATAATGACAATGACAATAATAATGATCAGTAAATGCGCGGCATGCATACGCAATCCCATGCCTCCCCAACGCGTCTGGCTATGGAATGTATTGGCCAAATCCTTAATTTGCCTCTGGTTTAGAGGTCATGCTCCTGCAGACTAAGATGATGATGTTGATGACGCGTACGCAACTCACTTGTGGTTTGATCTCTCCGCTCATGCCAGTCTTCGAGTTCTTATCGAACAGTAGGTTGACGTTACTCTGTGGTGACGCCAAGAAACTCAGGTTGATCTCTCCGATACCGGGCACGTTAAACTGCTGAGTGTGAACCGGCTGATTGTTCACCACCTAATCGGAATAATTTGTTATAGATCTAGCACATATCTGAGTCAGTGCCTGCGGTATGGGAGCGGCACGGGAGCGTGTTTTTGTGACGTCAAACGACAGCAAGACTTCAGGTAGGTCTGTGCTTCGGACTTGGGCAGGGTACCCACCTGCCATGTAGCACGTAACGTAGCATGTAACGTAACCAACCTTCAAGTGAGTACGGCCCGTCCACGGTCATCGTGTATCTGGCTGCGAGCTTCTGAATCCTACTGCGAGCCGCTTTTGTGCTCGCAGTGATACTGCCACTCGGCGGGCCGCTACTATCTCCCTGCGAGCCACGCGCGAGTAGCTCGCAGCGGGCTCGTGCCTATGTACTCACTTGATACAGTATCTGATAAGTTACATGCTAAACGGCTAGATGAGTACCCTGCTTTGCATGCTCTGTCATGTCATATGTTTTAGATGTCACCCCTCCCGTGCCGCTTCCATACCTCGGGCACAGACTCACTTATGAGTAGACCTATAATAGCCTGTGGGCACGGTAATAATATCATACAGTATTGTGACTTCATATAAACCGACGAAACGCGAGTTTTCCTTCGAATTTCAAATCACGGGACGTGGTCACGGTAATACTATCTATACAGTATTCCAACTCAGCCATATTTTTGAAATAAATGTCAACAGCCCCGCGGTACGTCACGGTATGACAACATGCGATAGGGCTGCTCACCTATAGTACCCATTCAAATTACATCTGTCTACTTAGAATTTCTATCTAGTTTTGTGATTGTAATTTTTTTTTTATTAGACAAACAAAATACTTTGTGAATGGAATAGGATAAAAATGCGTGTTGTTTTGTGATTAGTAGATTTAATTTTAAAAAATATGCTAAAATAATTTTGAATCTACTAATTATAATGAGTACTTAATGACCTGTTACTTTAATTTCAGGCTGGCGAAGTCGTGGGCCAAAGCTGGTTTTATACAATATAATTTTCATTTCAAACCAAACTGACTGAAAATGTCAATTTCTGACAGTTAATGACTAGTTTTTGACAAATTTGATCGTTTAAGACGGTCAGTCAAATTCAATCACCTTAGTCATTTTCAACACTAGGCCATCGATGTCCGTTCGGCACATTCGCGACACCCCTAACTTTTGGATCTCAACCACGTCCCGTGATTTGAAATTCGAAGGAAAACTCGCGTTTCGTCGGTTTATATGAAGTCACAATACTGTATGATATTATTACCGTGCCACGGTAATAATATCATACAGTATTGTGACTTCATATAAACCGACGAAACGCGAGTTTTCCTTCGAATTTCAAATCACGGGACGTGGTTGAGATCCAAAAGTTAGGGGTGTCGCGAATGTGCCGAACGGACATCGATGGCCTAGTGTTGAAAATGACTAAGGTGATTGAATTTGACTGACCGTCTTAAACGATCAAATTTGTCAAAAACTAGTCATTAACTGTCAGAAATTGACATTTTCAGTCAGTTTGGTTTGAAATGAAAATTATATTGTATAAAACCAGCTTTGGCCCACGACTTCGCCAGCCTGAAATTAAAGTAACAGGTCATTAAGTACTCATTATAATTAGTAGATTCAAAATTATTTTAGCATATTTTTTTAAATTAAATCTACTAATCACAAAACAACACGCATTTTTATCCTATTCCATTCACAAAGTATTTTGTTTGTCTAATAAAAAAAAAATTACAATCACAAAACTAGATAGAAATTCTAAGTAGACAGATGTAATTTGAATGGGTACTATAGGTGAGCAGCCCTATCGCATGTTGTCATACCGTGACGTACCGCGGGGCTGTTGACATTTATTTCAAAAATATGGCTGAGTTGGAATACTGTATAGATAGTATTACCGTGCTGTGGGGCAGTATACTTCATAATACATTTCATTCAACTTATCCCTATTTGGACCGACGATAGACAATGGTCCGGCGCATGAAGACACATGCAATCGGCCGAAATTAATCATACTAACATGTTTCTAATTACGAAGACATTAATCTAATTATCTGCTCCTGTTGTAAAAAGAAATGCCTTAAATGTTTAGCATTGTAATTAATAGAATTTCAATGCAGGCAATATAATCTTTAATAACCTTTAACCACGCAACAGTGATTGTCAAATTAACGTTAACAGCTATGGTTTATTATACAAAACAAAAATATTTGTACTTTAACCTGTAGAAACTTCTGCTGTTGAAGGTCTTGCTGTTGAGACTGTATATCGGCTTTTTGTTGTTGCTGCTGTTGTTGTTGTTGTTGCTGCTGTTGTTGTTGCTGTTGTTGTTGCTGCTGCTGTTGTTGTTGCTGTTGTTGTTGTTGCTGCTGGAATTGCTTCTGCAACTATTTTTGAAAGGAAACTTTATTTTCTCGCACATTAGTAAAACAATTAAGTATTATTTTCAATTGTTATTCAAATGTGTATTGCATGTGATACTTACCAACTCCTGCTGATCCTGCTGGTTCTTTATATGCTGCTGTATGGCCTGGTGGTGCTGTCTCTGTAGCGCGTGCTGTTGGAGCTGCTGTAACTGCTGCTGTTGCAACTGCTGCAGCTGCTGGTGCTGTAACTGCTGCAACTGTTGCTGCTGCTGCTGCTGGATTATTTGCTGTTGGATCTGATGCAGGAAACGGCATTAGTATACAGGATGGACTACATTCAAATTAACATTGAAAGCAATTAAAAAATAGTAATATTTGTCAGTTTAAGTATGGATAAAAAAACTACTGATTCTACTGCTCAAATCAAATTCAAAAACTATCCACAAACATTCAAATTCTCAAAACAAAAATGTCATAATAATGACCCATAATAATTGGCTGATTACTGGTGAGAATTTGCAATATTTGTTGTAAGATTTTATTTTCCTCCTCTTGGGGTAAGTTGTGGCATGTGAAGTGTAGAATAAATTTTATTATTTGTGTTAATCCATACTTAAAGGACATCATGTATGTAGTCACAAGTTAAAAACAGTGACTAATAATAAATATCGTTTTCATATTAATAATAATTCATAGTTATCATTTTCTTTCAAACTACATACAACTAGACAATTTTCTTTAAAACTTGTTCTTTCATTTATTCTATCATTGAGTAAGCAACAAATTCTATACTTAAATATTATGTATAGTGAACTATAACAAAGATAACCTACCTGTAACTTGTCATCTTCTTCTTTTTGATTCCTGTATCTATATTCCTCCCCTGTGCTGTGGTTATCAGGCTCTAGCTTTGGCTGTTTAATCTCAGGCCTCCGATAAGTATTATTCTGCTTATCCAAAGCCAAAAGAGTATTTGCAGCTTCGTACTTATCCTCAAATGTTATACCAGCCTTTTCTGCGAGTGTTTCTAAACACTGCAGTGGCCGTTTAACAGGTTTTGACGGTGCCTTCGGCTTATCTGCCTGACCACCACCAGGTGATTGTTTGGGCACAGTCCTAGTTATCGTAATACTATTTTTATTACATTCATCTTTCTTGTCACCCTTAGGCTCTAAAGTAAAGTAGTTTTTAGGATAGTTACTGTCTTTATCCTTTTCACCATTGAGGTTACTGTTCTCAATTAACGTTATAGTGGTTGAATTGGTGACTTTTAATGCCTTATCTTTAGGGTCATCTTTTGCTTGCGCAGGTTGGCCTGGAGCATTCGGAGAGAGCAGTTGCTGAGCAGGCACATGCTGTGTCACTGGGACATTAGCATTCTGTTCTGCAGAATGAATTGACTTTTCAGCAGGTTTCCCCAATTGTTGTTGGTAACTGGGGCTCTGTGGCTCTTTTTCCTGTTCTTTTTTCTTTTGTATATTATCTAGAATTTCAGACCTGAAACAAATGAAATGTACCTTCAAAATATCAGTGCTTAGACAGAACCTTGAAGTTTATCCACACACAGAAATTATTTTATATTTAAATATTGTGAGCAGGTACCTTATTAAACATTATCACAATAATTAAAACATAACGCAATAGGTATGTTAAGGCATACTAATATTATTAAGAGGTTAAGTAATGTGTTGTTGTGTAACTTATAATTATCTATTTAATGCTTATTCAACCATAGACTTTTATTTCATATAACAGTTACTCATCAACACTAGAATAAAGAAATATTCATAGAGCTTCAAATGCTTGCACTTGACTATGCATGTTATGTTATACATACAGTATAATTCTGATATAGTTAATAATATTATACAATATGATGAAAGTGCACTGATGTGGCACAGCATGCACTTGTAACTTGATTGGATAAGTCAATGTAAGTGCGCGCCTCAATTACCGCCCAGCCGCCGGCGACTGGAGACAATTGATTTTCTATCGTTCACTTAAGCAAACTGAAGAATTAGCACTAACGAAACCAGCAAAGAAATCAGACAGTGTTACAAGTTGACTACTTTCTAAAGTAGGTTTATACAGTTGAAGAACACATCACCAATTTATATAATGTACCTGGAATAATAACCTGCCATTAGGTTTGATGATAATCGTGTTAATTAATCTACAAAATGTGTAAATAGTAAAAACCGTATAAAAATACAGTGACGGTAATTTGGTACCATTAACAGGTAAGTAACCACGATAGGCATTAAAAGTTATTGACTGTAAAATATTATATTGCTCTATAATCTCACTTGGTTAAAACTTAAATGTGGATTTAATTAAAGCTAAGCTAACTCAAAAACGCTTAAAATTCTAAAAATAATAACACCAAAACCAAACACAAATCCGGATGTAGTTGAACTGTCACTAGTAAGTTGACAGTTGTTTTTTTTACTGTCAAATTATTGTGTTGTATATTGTCTATGGTGCGACATATCAAAGATACTAAAACCATAGGTACTGTTCTTCGAACTGAGATGAAAATATCAAATCTGTCCTGCTGATATTTTATTCGGCGGATAATATAATAAAATTATGTAATATAAATATTGGACAGGATTGTTTTAACACAATAAAGTTCTTTTTTTCTGCCGCCATTTAAGACTTTTCTTTTTGTTTCCGGAAATAACAAACCCATTAACCACTATAATACTACAATACTCGTATAGGGTGGAATTTTGTAATGCCACTAGGGGGGAAAGTACTCTTACTATATAGAATTTTAGTCATAGAAAACAAAATTTGTTGATTGTGTATGGCAAAACACGCATTACAGATGAGATTAAACTCAATACAGATGGCGTTTGTCGAGCTAGTTCAACTTGTGGTTCAACTGTCATTGTTATCAGCCTAAAATTAAAATAATTATTTAATTTTTGTATAAATATTGTAGTTAGCTTTATATTACCTGATTATTGTGTTACTATTTACCTGATTAAAAAATAAACAGCTTTAGATTTTAAAGAAATTTCAATTTTGATACTAACAAAACCTTTGTTAGCTAAAAAAATAATAGGCAACGTTAATTGTTTTATTAATAATAGAAAAAAACAGTTATTATTGTTAACATTTGAGTACCTACAGCTGAATAATCTTGAATGAGCTGAGGAACAATAATTGAAGCCATTACCGGTAAGTACCTACTGAAAAATTTAGACTTATAAAAAACTAGCTTTCCGCCCGCGGCTTCGCCCGCGTGGAATTTTGTCTGTCACAGAAAAACTTTATCGCGCGCGTCCCTGTTTCAAAAACCGGGATAAAAACTATCCTATGTTCTTTCCCGGGACTCAAACTATCTCTATGCCTAATTTCATCAAAATCGGTTGCGAGGTTTAAGCGGGAAAGCGTAACAGACAGACAGACAGACAGACAGACAGAGTTACTTTCGCATTTATAATATTATTATAGTTGGGATAATGACGTAGGGTAAGTGCGCTAGTTTTCGTCCAATTAGCGGAGTTGCCAACTTTGTGATGCGAAATGAATATCTTAAAATACCCTTACTCATATGTACCATACATAATGTCATTTTAGTCCTTATTATAGTCTACTTTACGTTAATATTATATGACAATAAGTAAATACCACGGGTTTTTTTATAAAAAATATTTTATGCAAAAGAGGCGATTTCACTAGTTTTCGTCCAAAAAAATCAGTTTTCGTCCTAGTGTAAGCTAGTTTTCGACCACTGTGTAGAAAAAAGAGTGCAGTTGAATTATTAACTTAAAACCAATTCTACAATACAGTAACTATGGATTGTGGTATATCATTTGAAAGGTAATTTTGTTAGCTTTCAAATGATATAAAAAAGATTTAAATAAGTTTCTTACCTAAATTTGGGAAAATATTGCAATAGGTCGAAGGACAAAATAATGGACGAAAACTAATCTACAGGAATAGCTAATTTTGGTTTTCGTCCACCCCAGTGCTTGCTCATGACGTCATGGACGAAAACACAACAACGTTTAAAGCTGTTTTTTGTTTTCGTCCACATCTTTTTAACGGTTTTTATGGGTTTATCACTGTTATTAATATAATAGCAATAAAGATCATATTGGAAGAAAAAATATTGTATTTTGTAGGTTCATTGAAGTAAAATGATTATTAAAAATATTAACTAGGTGTCAGGGTTTCCGTCCACGTGGACGAAAACCAAAATCTTGCAAAATTGTTATGCTCGTATTAGTCCACTTAATTATCTAAGATTTCTATACAAAAACTTTAATAAACCCTTAAAATAGTGTTTATTATGCTAATAATTAGACATACATGCCAAAAACATTACGTAAAGTAGCTAAAACAGTAATTAAACATACCATGAAAGTTCCCTACCGGCACGTTTTTTTTCTAACTTGACGACGTTTTCCATTCACCTGTGTGCAGTAGCAACTTCCGTAGATTTTTTTTGGAGTTTTTACTTGTCAAATTACATTTTCATGCAGGCAGAACTGTTACTTAGATATTATAGATTGTAACAAGTCCAAACTTGCACGGAAAGTTAGGTTTGTATTCTAACTTTCCGTATTTGTTTGTGGCAAGTCGGTCAAATGGATGAAAACAGGAGCTGGACGGAAAACCGGCGCAATTACCCTAAGTGACTTTTATTGTAATGTTTTTATTACTAGTCCTGCCATCCAGAGGTGCCAAAAAATGACTATTTTGAACCACTTGTATGTTTTGAAAGAAAGAAAGAAATATTTATTTGGTACCTGATATAAAAACAACACAAATGAACATAAGAGCAAAACAAAATGGTACCTATATTATTCACATATCAGAATATTAGCTCAGATAGTAACTAGTTGTCTCATTTTTTGTAACTAGTCGTTATCCAGCTAAGATCTAAAGATCTAGATCTCGGTGACTTACCATCTAGCTTATTTAATTTACTGCAATAGTAGTAACATACAATAGGTATGTAATTAATTAATAATTAGCTATTGAACTAGATGTTTTAACTATTTTTTACTGATTATAGTCTAGCCGTTTAAAATATTACAATAATAATCTACCTAAGTTACGTAGTTTGTGGTAGTACTTTGTTTGAAACTAAATAACTGCGAGTCGTCATAATTGCAGCCATGAATGCTTGTGCCTGTAAGTGGCTCATAAATGACTATGAGTGCAAGCAAGAGGTAGGAAACAAGAAAATTTCTTTGTACTAAAGGTTTAGGTAGGTACTCACATACCTAACTATTACATTTTTTTATGAGTTAAACAGAGATGTCAGTATAGGTATGTCAGTGTAGATACATAGAAAAATGTATACAATATTTCGCAAGGATAAACGCTGCAGTTGAAAGATGCCAAATGTATATTTAGGTCAAAACATAGTTGAAAAGCCTTTGTATGGAATGTCGAACGGATTCGATTTTCGATTCGATCAAAAAGTGCCACTTGTCTAGCTCTAGACCCACTGTTTGAACAAAGGTGACTGAGTTTCTTCCTCCACTTCTTCTCAGCACCAGCCCATAATTATGTTCTCCTGAAGTGGTGGAGGGGTAGGGCAAGCTATATTTGGGTCGTGTATTTAAAGCACCTTGGAAAGGGCCTAAGAACTGAATAAAAGCTTTGACTTTGCTACTGAGGTCCAGAATAAGTACTAAATTTTAAAATATAACAAAAGTAGGTTAATTTTATTATGTTTTATGAAGGGTAAATTGACATGTCTTCTTACCCTTCGTTTCGTTATCGTTAGTTATGGCTTTAATAAAAATTCTTGAAAAACTATTCATAAAAGGAAAAGCTTTCAATATTTCTAATGAATAGAAGGCCTTAAAGCTTATATAGATTACCTACATTATTAATTACTACCATACATGCAAATCCAATCAAGTTATTTTAAAACCACCTAAAAATACTTTTCAATAGGTATACCTACAGAATTATAATTTACGCATACATTTATGGTGTCCTATTATTGTAAGACAGGTGAGCATGAGTAAGTAAGGAAAAAAGCTGAAGTATTATTTGCAAACTCATTCAACCTACATTAGTTTCTTGTTCGAGTTCTTACTTACCATATTTTCTAGAGAAATAAAAGTAACACCTATTTTAAGGACAGATACCTAAATAAAAAAACGGTTCGTCGGGCATTATTTCACAACTCACAAGGGGAAGCAAAAAAAATAATGAAAAGGTGCGAAAGAGAGGGCAATATAGAGACGCGTGTGGCGTGCGAAAGAGAGCATTAAAGCCCACTAGGGGAGTTGGAACGCAAACCGGTTCTGCATGTGTGCAGACAGACGGCGCCCTCCCTCCCCTCGGCTGTCGACCCTCGGGTGCGAGGGCCCCACATTGTCAGCTTTTCCCCGAAGCATTGCAATAATAATAATAACCAAGCCCTTAGCATTAAAAAAAATAAATGTCATATGAATTTAAAGTATATAAAATTATCAGTGCTGTTTGTGTTTACATGGAGTATGAATAATGACTGTGTTACATTTCGTTAAGAAGTTCCTTTCTCTTTCATTTAAGAGCTTCTGAGTAAACTTGTTTTCGCACTATTCAGATGTTTGTTCGTGATCCATTCTAATATCAAGCCACCTTAGCCCACTATCTAGAGGCAGCCACACGCGACGCACTCGCCCACTTCACATCGCAATCGTAAAGTAAAAAATAACATAAAATACCTTTTGGTGTAAAAACCATAAGAACAACGTTCCATCGTTTCAAAATAAAGGGTTAACTGAAACGTAAGCGCCGTCCCATGCGGCAGTGATTAAAAGAAAAAACAAACAAAAAGGTAAGGATCGAGACATTCGCACGAGTGAAAGTAAACACAACACTTATTATCGACGAAAACGACATACAAACACACTTTATCGATAGTCCAGCGCCAGACTCATTGTAACAATAACCTTCTTTTCGAGTGGCGAAACACGACTGTACTGTACGCGCGCGGTGCCGGCGTGCCGCACCCATTCCCCGCACTACCCCTCGGCAGCGCTCTCTATCTGCCATCGCCAATGGTACGCCCGCCCCAAATCCGGACCTCTCATTGGTTGGTTCATTTTATGACCGTTCCACAAACAAAACCGGTTGCCATGAACGGCACGAAAGGGCGCGAGGGACGAAATTAGCGTTTGTGCGATTATTATTATTGCCACTCTAAGCGTCTCTCTCGCACTCGATGGTCAAAGCGAGACGGTAAACCTAAAATATTAGACCGTCATATCATACCATTTCTTTCTCACCCAAACACCGACCATTTTAGAACCATAGAAGAAACACCATGAGTCAGATCTATTGCGTGCGATGGTTAAGATTTTAGATTTTTTTATTAAGTCTAAAAGCGGGTAATTATAAGCTTTTCACGATATACCTTTCTAAGGGTAGTATTAAATTTAAAATTACTATGAAGCCAAAAATATTAAATCAACACCTTATAAATGACTCTTCTTACTTTTTGGGCCACAAATTATTATATTCTTATTCTTAATCTTGAAAAATTATAAATAATATTTCATTATTATTCATCATGCCAAAAGAAAGGAGAAGAAATCTTTAAATATTAAAAACCATTTTTTTAATGTCGTAGCACCTCCTTATTTAATAGAAATCGGTTAAAAAGCAAAAGGGGCTCATTATCACCCCTTTTTACCCTACCGCACACTCATCCGAAGAATCGTTTCAACCATTCACTAGCTCAAAATGGGCACGTATTGCAATGTCAGAAGGTACTGAATACGACGGACATTTTACTAGATACTACTCATTTTCTTTATTTCTCAATATTTAAATTATCATGAGCAAGTTTGATCTTCAATAAATTTTAAACCTTTTTGTACAGTTTAATCACAGTAGATAAAATATAATTATACAGTGGTTTAATTCTTCATCGTAATTTATTATGTTAGTAAAATGTTCCTTATCGACAACGCAATAAGGCACAGATTGGCCTGTGATTACTTTTTTTTTAGAATTTATGTAACTCCTTCTCTTAGGCACTTAAGTTTGAGAAAATATTAATTAATAGAATATTAATTCATAATACGGGGGTTAAAATAACACATTAATAGTCGGCTTTTGCAATAATCAATGATTGGAAATTCAAGCCAAATAATGCTTTATTCAGTAAACGAGAAGGCACAAATTGGCTTGAACGAAACTTTTACTTTAAACATTATTCTTGACGAATGACTGATGGATTCAACAATGCACATGAGTTAAGGTCAGTTCTTTCATCTCGTAACAAAAAATTGGAAACTTAGGAATCCATGAAAATTAACGGGCGGACGAATAGTGAAATGCAAAAACTTTACTTAATGGCTGCACTTAACTGAGCTTAGCTTTAAAGTTATTATGACCTGATATGAAAAAATACTTGATCACGACAGTAAAAATAACACCAGAATTGTGGTCGGTCCCAATTTCTTTACTTTATTCCTTAAGATTTTTGGAGCATTATAAAGGATCTTTAAGTTAATATTCCTTCCATCAGTGGATCGGGGGAAACGGGAAACAATGCTAAAACCATAAAACTTACAGTCAATCTATTGGGTTTAAGCAAGCCAGTGTGTCATCATCTATTATTTCGTAATAATCGTAATAGCACTAATTCATTTACTAAACAGAAGTGAAGTGATAATAGTTATAGTACAGTACCTAATTAATATAATATTTGTAGATTTCTTTATTTTAGATATTAGACAAAAAAACTGCGTGTTTTATTGAATACTTTTTTGTTTTATTATTTCTATTATTTTGTAGACATGCTCAATCTGCTATTATCACATCTCTGGGAGTTTTTTTTTTCAATTCTTTTGTTTATGGTCACAAAACCGGAAGTTTTTTTTAAATAAAAAAAGAATGATTGTCATCATCGCATTTCAATAAAGTTAGTGAAGACGTCGTGAAGATGTCGCTTTTTATGATTCTTAAAATGTAATTGGGTCATTCCATAAAAATCTGTATATTTTCGACGTCATTTTGTCCGTAACTTTTTTAAGATGCTTTTGAATACTTTATTAGTGTAAATTATTGTTTATTAATTAATTATGTTATGTCTAAAAGGGCCAGTCACTTTATGCTTTATTTTAGGAGAAATTATAATTTTCTTTTTTTTCATACTACACCTACTCCAATATGACTTCTAATAAAGTACAAAACTTATAACCTTAACATTTATAGATAAGTTAATACACATAATGTAGTTGTTTTGTTATTATCACTATATAAAAAACATCATTCCCTAACTAGTAATTTAGTCCCAAGTGCCGTTTAAAGCTAGGGCCTGACGCTCTAGGGACTGACGATTTGGAGTAAAACTTAACACAAATGCAGATTAACTTTATATTATAAGATGCTTAATACGATGTTCCGAAAATAGCCAAAAAACCACACGTAAATACTATTAAGTTATATACAATTTCCTATTATAATCAATAAAGCTACTCAACTAGGGACTGACGAAGTGACTGGATTAACACATGTTTCCGCAACAACTGGCACGTTTGCACTTATTCAAAAAACGGCTACCGCAAAGCCAGTATGGTCTGAGGATAACTTCGTATCGTACTTTAAACTCAACTAAATGTCATTCACTCTAAATACATATTAAAGCGCAAAATTATAAAATCAGTGCGTGGCGAGGGAATGACGCTAAAAGCTGTAGACTCTTTTTCAACTAAAGAAAATCAAATTATTGTTTATTGAAACCGCAAAATATTAATAGAATTTGGTGTAATATACATTTAAATAGATTATTCGTTAATTAAAACAAAGGATAAAGTTGATGTTTTTATAAATGTGGGTCCCAAAACACAAACTTTTGGAGTACGGACATGCCTAGGGAATGACGTTTTGGGTCATTCAAAAGGAATTTAAGATGTTTTAAAAATAGTTTCAAAAAATATAAATGGGTGATGAATAAAGCACATTGCGAGCTATTATTTAACAATTTTGGAATAAAATATTAACAAATATTTCATGTGAAATGTGGCGTGGACTAAGAGTTGACATATTTTTGTGGAATGACCCATTTAGATGATTCTTAGCTTTTGGGCCTTTTTAGGGTTCCGTAGTCCTGATAAGGAACCCTTATAGTTTCGATATGTCTGTCTGTCTGTCCGAGGTTTTTTAAACGTAAATCCAAAGGCTAGGCCCGCAAAGGAATTAATTAAAACCGCTTGCCCGGGCCTCAGCTTTGCATTGGCGCGCACCTACGTCAGGTGTTAATAGATGGCGCTTCCATGCAACAAAATCTAAAATTGGTGGATACGCGCTGCTAGGTACAAAACATTTCTACTTGCTTTAATAATACGTTCTAGAATTTCATTAGCGAGGTAATAAACTAAACTTTAAATTAAGTTATGAAGCTTATAGAATACATTAATAATTTAATTATTTTCACTTTTTGCCCCAGACTCGAAATAATAGCGTTATTAAACAACTTAGGCAAGTATGCGTTAATACATTAATTTGAATTTAAATCAATAATATACCTGGTAGTCAACTATAAAAACATACTTTATTACTTAACATAAATAAAATCCTAAGCGAGATTTTAAAAATCACGGCAAGTCTGTAATAAAACTTCACTAATACACTTTAGTAATCGTTCTACTCATTACTTGAGACCTAAAAACTTAGTTGGTTTGGTAAAAAATGTAGTTTCTTATGAAACCTACTATGCATGGGAGAAGTTTATGAAACATACAGCGCCATCTAGTCCGAAACTTAGCGACAAAACAAGAGTTGGGGCTTAAAAAAATACTAAGTCCCTGGGTACGTACGTAATATACAAAATAAAAAAAATGTGTAATGTGCAAATGATGAACCCGCGACTTCTATTTTAGTGCATCTTAACCACTGCGTTAAACAAGTGAACGAGTCCAAAACTGCGTTAGGTATTCTGCTATGATTGGGGTGTAAGTATTTTATTTACAACTAACTAAGTAGCTTTTGCCCGCGGCTTCACCCACGTGAAATGTCGTTTGTCACAGATCGTCATAAATTATGTTATTCTGGGTTAGGTATAGGACAATAATACTGTAAAGCTTCATCAAAATCCTTTCAGTAGTTTTTGCGTGAAAGAGTAACAAACATCCAGACATCCAGACATCCAAACTTTCGTATTTATAATATTAGTAGGATAGTAGGATTAACAATGCACTAAACCAAGTGATTATATTTAATGGGATTTTTTTAAGTTATCCTTAAGTCTAGTTAGGTAGGTAGTTTAGTTTTATGTTTGGAGAAACATGATCAAAATTACTTAGATAGGTTTAAGAAATCAACACTCGACGTACTGTAACACATACTATAATTACCCGACTGCACCAGAAGGAGGGTTATGTTTTTAGAGTGTATGTATGTATGTGGGTATGATGATATTTCTTTGGCATGGCCTACAGCCTAAACGGCTTGACCGATTTTAGCGTGAGAGGTATCATTAGATTTGTCTTAATCGTAAGATCAGACCACTTAACATCAGGTGCGATTATGGTCAAATAACTGCCTTGTTATGCATTAAAAAAAAAGTGACACTAGCTATATCAAAATTGGAAAAAATCGAAATGGCGGATTTAAAGGCGCCATAATTTTACAAAAATGTAGGTACGTCGTTTATTTATTTTGGATACGGATCTACAATAATTTACCTGATTGTCACTACCCCACCTTTTTAGGGTTCCGTAGTCCTGAAAAGGAACTCTTATAGTTTCGACATGTCTGTCTGTCTGTAAACATGTTAAGTGGGGATTGGCTTGAAAAATCTGGAAAAATTCGTAATAATACTGCTTTTCATTAACTTGCAAGGAAAACTAT